CCCAGCTAACCCGGCACTCTCCCTCTTAATCCATTGGACGTGATAAGCACAAGACCTGGAGCCTAGGAGCTTTCCAGGGGTCTATCAAAATGCTTGACAGCAAAATATAAAAGAAAAAACTTTAATCGTTTTGTTATTATCTGTGAAACTTCTAATAAACTTTAGTCTGTATACATTCGTCTTTTTAACTATTTCATGTTAGTGGGAGCACACAATATTTGTTCTTTTTTGTGTACAGCTTATTTCACTTAGCATGATGTTTTCAAGGTTCATCCATATCATATCATGTATCAGGATGCCATTCACTTTATGGCTGAGTAATATTCCATTGTACAGATACACCATTTTTTGTTTACTCATACATTTGTTGATGGACACTTAGGTTGTTTCCATCTTTTGGCTATTGTGGATAATGCTGCAATGCATATTGGTTTATCGGTGTCTGAGTCCCTGCTTTTGAGTCTCTATGAGTCGGGTTTGACTCGACGGCACATAACAACAACAACAACAACAACAACAACAGTGTGTACACAAGTACACGGACTGCTCCCTTACTGACATGTTAAGATACCAAAGAATAGGTCATTATGTGAAAATTGGAAGATGACCATATCAGATCACAAAATGGAGGATGACTACTTAATTCATAACTGCCAAAGCAATGAGAGTCATGACACAACCAAGTTGACACATAACCTTAACCATCACAGCCAGTGTTACTCTCACACTTCCCAAGTCAACATTAGTTACTGCTAGCTGTACATCATTAATGTGCAAAATCGATAGATCTTTTACTATTATCATAAATGAGAAATATAGCATAACAAGATAGTCGATAAGTAAGCAATAGGTTTGTTATTAAATATAATTGTACTTCAACAAAAAAAATGAGACAACAACCAAAAATGTCTATGACATTTAATATTTCAACTGGCCAATTCAAATCATATAATAGACATAGTGGGGGGTCTATAAATAAGAGTACCAATGGGCTTGGAACAGCAGGGCCACCTGAGTAGTTGGGAAAGACCTCTACAGGCTGGATGAAACCACCACCCTTCTCTGTCACACACACAAGCCATGTTGGTTAAAACTATGCATCATCATAAAGCATATACTAAGGGGAAGGATGGATCTAGCTTCAGGTGAGGCTGAATCCAGGAGCTTATAGAATATCAGGCCATGAATTCATCACTGTGGGAAGGTGGGGAGGAAGGATGGCATCTTCTGATCAACGAGGCTTAAGTTTCCTGCCTCCTACGTTGGGAAGAGGGTAGAGTCAACTTTGAGCAACCAAATATATGGAGAATCCAGAAGAAAGGTGGCTTTCCAAAGGAAAACTAAATGTGGATGCAATTCAGGCTAAAACATCAGATGTCCACTGGTGACTCTTTGGTGATTTCCTTCACAATTTTTTCTTCCAGTTCCTTGCCTCTTACCCCCATTACCATGTTCTGGCCTATTGAAACCCCTTTTACTTATTTGGCTTGCCTCTAGGAAGTTTAACCCTGAGATCAAAGCAGCTGAGCCCCACCCTGAACCCAGCACTGAAAGAGGACTCTGCTCTAGTCCTGGAACCAAGGTACCCATATTTCAGGCAAACTAGTCCCTAGAATTCCCTGCCCAAACAACCCCAGGCCACTTCTAGGGCCTGAGTGGGGCTCTGCTTCTCTCACTTGGCATGCTTGGCCCAGCCTCTGCCCCAAAGTGCTCAAGCCCCTCATTCCCTTGCTCTCATAAACTCAATGCCATTGGGTCAATTCTGACTCATGGAGACCCCATGTGTTACAGAGGAGAACTGAGCTCCATTGGGTTTCCTTGGCTGTAATCTTTAGGAAAGCAGATAGCTAGATCTCTCTATCACAGTGCCGCTGCAAGCTGTTTGCACCATCAAAGGACTTTTGCTCTCACAAGAGTCTTTGAAAGTGTGGGATGCTGGTATTCACTGACAAGAGAAGCTATTTGAGAGGCCACAGACATCACCCTGTTAAATCAGGTGGGGAGGAAGGTAGTGCCCTTTAAAGCTCTCTTTTGGCCTTGACTCTGTCATGGAGAAAGTCATTTTTGGTGCTAGAGTGCCTTGGCCCCTTTTCTAGTATGTGTCCATTTTCCTTCTAAGCAAAGTAGCACAAGGTCTCAGTGTATGGCTTCAGCAGATAACAGCATTGAAATTGATGTTAATATCACTATTATATTTGAAGGTTTAGTTGTCTTTAAGGAGCACTGATGACAAAATGGTTAAGTGCTCAGCTGCTAACTGAAAGGATGATGGTTCAAACCCACCCAGCAGCTCTGTAGAAGAAAGACCTGGCATCTGCTTCTGTAAGATTGTTGTTGTTGTTGGTAGATGCCGTCAGGTCAGCTCCACTTCATAGCGACCCTATGTACAGCAGAACAAAACATTACCCAGTCCTGTGCCAGCCTCACAATCCTTGCTATGCCTGACCGCACTGTTGCAGCCACTGTGTCAATCCATCTCTTTAAGGGCCTTCCCCTTTTTTGTTGACCCTCCACTTTACCAAGCATGACATCCTTCTCCAGGGAATGGTCCCTTCTGACAGCATGACCAAAGGAAATGAGATGATGTCTGGCCATTCTTGCTTCCAAGGAGCATTCCAGCTGTACTTCTTCCCAGACAGATTTGTAATCTGTAAAATTACAGCCTAGGAAACCCTATGGTGCGGCTCTAACCTGTGATATGTGGTCACGATGAGTTGAAAACCTATTTAATGATCCATGACAACATCTTTATTTTTATGGAGGCAGTTCTTTTAAGGGAAGAAATTTCTATTTAGAGTAATGATACAAAGCTACTTTCAATTAAGTGAGAAAAGTGACTTGATTAAAATTGAGGAAACAAGGGTCCAAGTAGACTTGGATATAGCAAATACTATGAAGGATGAGTGCAGAGGTCTGGGTCGGGGTCAGGGTCACACAGGCTGGAGAGAGCTGCTGGCCTGGAATAGGTCTTCAGCACCTGGTTGTTCCCAGGGCAGCCTGGCTTGACTCCCTCCCTGTGGAGTCATTTCTCTGACTGCTACACATCACTCAACCCTGACTCTGCAAGCTTGCTCACCTGCCTCTGCTCCTATCTCTCAGCCCCAGCTCAAACTCCCCTGCTCCGAGACCTCAAGTAGGGCCCCAGTACCATTTAGTGCCTAAGGCACTTGACTGCTAACCAGAAGGCTGGTGGTTCAAACCCACCAGCCACTCCTCGGAAGGAAGGTTGGGCAATCTACTTCCGTAGTGATACTGCCTCGGAAACCCAAGGAGGGGTCGCTATGAGTCGGGGCCGACTCGATGGCATATAACAACAACACAAGAACAGGCCCTGTCAAGGACTTCAGCCCTTCAAAATCTGATCTGCTTCCTCTATGAGCAATGTCTACCTTCCCAGTGACATGAACAGGGTATACACACAGCATAGCATTTGGAGGCTCCAGGAATCAGAGCCCAAGTTGGTCCCCAGGACAGTGTTAGAAACTTCAGAAGATTGTGTAGATTTCCCCAAGCTACCTCTCCATCCTCCTCCTTTTTCTTCTTAGGTGCACATGATTACCGTGGATCCAAGCAAGCTTCTCTTAGTTTCCTAGGGCTGCTGTAACAAAAAATACCGTAAGTGGGTGGCTTTAAAGAACAGAAATTTATTTTCTCATGGTTTAAAAGCTAGATGTGCAAATCAAGCTTTAGGGGAGGGACTTTAACGGTGTAGGAAGCCCCAGGTGTTCCTTGTGTTCTTTGGCTACTTGCAGATGTATCTTCACATTGCAACCCGTCCGGACACTCCCCCCTGCCCCCCCACCTCCATTTGTGTCTGTCTATTATACTCTTTTTATGAGACTCCACTCAGAAAGGATTAGGTTTAGGGCCTTTCCTACTCAGGTCTGTCTTCATTAACATAAAAAAAAAAGTCTTACTTTCAAACAAGGTCATGTTTACAGGCATGGCAGCATAATTTTCAGTGGAACACAATGCAATCCATAACAAAGGCCCTGCTCTTATTTCATTATTTACATGTTTGCATTTATCCCCATTCCTCACTTTCATCCCCAGCTCCATGGAAACCATTCTAATGTGCTTAATATGTATCTTTTGTTTGTGTTCTTGCAAACTGTGTTTTTGTTTAGTGTACATATATTTTAAAAATATTAAACAGTATTGAGTTATAGATGTCATTCTGTTTCTCACTTTCTTCACCTAGCACAACGTTGCTGTTGTTTTTACATTTATTATTAAATTTTAATGTTGAAATATAACATACCGCTAGTAAAGTACAAGGAGATCTGGTGGCATAGT